AAATGCTATAAAAACCAAGAAAAACAATCATTTTCCTGTAGTCTGGTTCCCTGACTCCATTTAAGAAGAAACAGAGCAGTTTACATATATTGGGGAATTGTAAGGTCAGGGAACCAGTCTAGCTGGCTTGTACCCGTTCATAGGTGTGTAATCGATTGCAAACAAGTGCGATGGTCAACTGGGGCCAGTATTTGAAAAAAGCCAGTTTTTTCCAACGCTGATCGGCCGATCAGCGGTTTTTTTTTTTGATGTTTGCAAATGTTGTATTTTCCCTTTAATGTCATTGAAGAAAAATCATTAAGTAGTTTTAATTATTTGTTGAATATATATTTAATTATTTGTTGAATTATTTACTGAATGTTGCTCTTTGTTGGCACACTCTGTGTATGCAGCTCGGAAAGAAGTAATTGCCATACCAATGGAATCGGTGTCCATCACTAATTTAAAGTTGCCGATAACATCACCATCTTTGTGTCTATATTATATTATACATTTCATCGGATAGACTATCAGCAATGTACACGTGTCAGAACTGGTGAAACAACTACACGAAATGATGATATCAGAGTCGTATACGATGTATATCTCTCGTTGTTTCCCGAAACACCTCGTTGATGTTGATGTATGAAGCTAAAAGTATTCCTACTAATGTCAGATTTACTATATCAGAAGCTATAACATGCATGTTCTTGGTAAAAAAAAATTCAATGCGCCATATTTTAATTTTTATTTTTTCTTAGTGTATGCCGCCACAGGCAGTCAGCTGAAAACACGTTCCCAAACCTGAATCCAGTTCGACAAATTTAATTTTGCCATTTCCTATGGGTTCGTCGTGTCTGCTTTCACTGCATGCGAAATGCACGGTTAGCAAGTGGTTTATTCCGTATAACATAACAACTTTAACTCACTGCCGCAGGCCCCAGTTACGTTAGAGTTCTATTAAAATGGAAAATGCATCCCTTAAAAGGTGACCCTGTTTCAGATATGACTAGTATCCTATTTCTCTTATGTCGGTGACGTGCCTTTAAGGAGCCATCCACCTGGAACCAGGGCCGGCCTAGTCCTCATTTTGCATTATGCAGAGAGAATCGACATTACCAATTCGTCCCGTGCTACAAGTATCCCATCGCGTGGGGTGCAAGGTATTAAAAATGCATGTTTTAAAGGGGGTGGTAAGATAGTCATATTCTTTGTGATTGTAAGTGTTACTGGTTTGAAAATGACGTAAGTCTTATACTTTTAGGCTTGTATGGAAACATGCAGAGCCAACGTTATGTCCTCATGCACATACACAAAGCAACAGATACCGTGCCATACGAGTACGAGTACACGAGTACAAGGCAATAGTTCCATGAGGACGAGTATGATTATATTTTATATAACTGACATACAGATCCTTGTCATTTGATTGGTGGAACTCGCATCACGTGACATTCGTTATTGCTCCCATTCACGCCGGGGATCAAAAAGTCCCATTCGCCCATGGGGAATGGGAAATACTATTGAACAGTTAGGATCGTTCTCGTTCCATGACGCGGTATTTGTGTGCAAATGCATGCGCGTTCAGCGTTGCGCGTATAAACAAAAGAGGGACAACACTGGGTCCCCGATTGCAGGTAAATACACACTTATGTGTGTGGGTGAGTTGGATGGTAGACAGTTTACTCGGCCATATATTGTATTCATGCATGCAACTCAAATATTACAGATTTGCTGTCGAAGGCCGGTTTGATAACACTGATGCGCATGCGTCTAATTTGCATAACACTGATGCGCATGCGTCTAATTTGCATATTACTCTCGAGGTACCGGTACGGCCCGGGTGCGCGCACGGACGGTGCCGTAAGCCGTCTTCACACGTTACCCGGCAGCCTTGGGTTGTACGACTTGGGTTGTACCACTTTTGTTCAACAAAAATGTACTTTCTCTGAGCCATCTCTCCTTCCATCACTACAGCGCTCCAGTGGGAAAAAATGCAATGAAAAATGTCACTATAGGATCAACCATCAACAACTTATGGCCCACCCAACCACAAACATATTCCGATATATATTTCCGCCGCAGATATTATGAGCTTACAGAAATTAATCCGATTGACTTTTTTTAATGGTATAAGTCGTGACGGCCTAAGTTGCCTTGAGGAATATATGAGCTTAGGAGCTAGATGGCGCTATACGACTCCAATTCACAATGCGTAATGTGATAACTGGTATCTTGCTTTTGGCAGTAAGGAATTAGGCCTGTGGGTCTAATAAATGGCTACTCAAGGCATACATCCGCTCTTCTCACTTAGGATTGCTGAGAGACCTTTCACTGGTAACCATCGAATATAATATTTACTATAAATTATATACAATATATTACTTACCAACGAAGTATCACTACTGTGGTACTCGTAATCATACTCACACTCGTGGCAAAGAACTCGCACTCTTACTCATGAGTATAGTCGAGCACAAAACCGAAAAAGTTGCTAAATTGCTAAACCTTTTAGCCGAGCTATAACTTCCTTTACAGGCAAAGAACAAGTAACAAGACAACAGCACGATATCCAAATGCCCTGCACCCATGGACAAATCATATATATTCAAACGTCCATTCACATTATGATTGGTTTCAAAATAACAAGTATTATATCTGTTTTATGTGCGATATTCTTTTCTGATATTGTATAACACTTTGGCTTTTGGTTGCGTTATTTACAACCGTGTCTGATTTATTCACGTATAGAAACTGAAGGGTTCATTTGAGGTTCTATTCTAACACGTAGAGCTCTATCTTTACATCTATCGATGTAGACAAAATGATTGATTACTGGGCATGCATGGCTGATTTTCATCACTGATGACTCTCCGGCGTATAAAGTTCCTTGGCTGAAGTCTTTGCACACTCCTAATCATGATATCTTTGCCAGCCCGTTGGAGCATAATTCATAAACCTTCTTCCACTTGCATTCTCTAGATTTAATGATAAAATATTTATCATATATCCGATGCTTTGCTGCACTCCGCGATTTGAAATAGCTAGACCTAGATTGTGATAGAGTGAGCCTGTTTTGTGTATAGCCGGATATACCATGTCGATCGTGTGAAATGAGAGTGACGGACATGACCATAATGTAATACGGAGTTAATGAAGGGAAAATATTGATGCTGAGCTTATTAACAACGCTTCAGTGGCCATCAATTCTGTTATTGTACTTCACTTGTTTGTTAATATCGGAGTGTCTGTATTACATGGCGCAGTAAACAACACAAATTTTCAATGTGATATTTGTTCATGCGACTTTGTTCATGCGAGTCGGGCCTACAGTGTGCAATTTTGAAAGTTGGAAATAAAAACATTATATGATATGAAACGGAAGGTTTTTTCAATTCTGATGCAGTCACACTGTTATCACACGAACATTATCTAAATATAAATCTAGTGCACAGCTTCAGCATGAAATTGTAATCCTTAAAATCACCCATATCTGTATTTTCATATACATGAACGTCAATATTATTGCATTTCAATCTCGCAAGCAGTTTTGTTTTTGTATCGGTGATGTCTGTACATTTCTCCCCATGGCACTGCCATGCACAACATGATCTACTAATTTATTTCACAAACTGTCTGGTCATGTTCGAATCAACTTTCGTTCGCTGTCACTCTGAAATGTCACTCGCCATAACATGCACAGACGCTGATGCAGTTATCTGCTAATGTTCTTTTGTTGTGCAAGTGCTGAAATACTTGGACGTCATAAATCAAAATGTGAACGCAAGCACGTGGCATTGTCGGACAATTATTGCAAGTGGAAATTGACGTCAGAATGGCAAAACGGGTAGAATGCTTTGAGTGATGTTTTCAATTTTCATCTTATTATCAATTTTCATCCTTTTTCAATGGACAGCCTCAGGCCGGAAAAAATATTATTGATAGCTATATCCGATCGCGTGGTAATGCTGCATGCTGCATGAATTTTTTTTTACGCTGCACTAGTGCACTACAATTTATCAAAATGGGCATTTGTTAATGGGTCTATATATAACTTTTACAATATGAAAATGCATGTTATGCAGACTAACATTAGGTTTGTCACTCGCTGAATGGGACAGCCCCGATGCTGACGACCCTTCTTATTTTCTGTGATATTTCATAAACAAAATAAAAGTCAATCGATCTAAAAAAGACCACAGGAGGAAGCAAAAAGGAACTTGGCCTTCAAATATTCTAACCGTAATTTAGGATTACCGAGGATAATTACATTGGAGTTTAGAATATGTACTCGGTATAATAATCGCTAAAAAAAGGATCGACGTCCTTAAGTGTATTGGAGGAAAGAAGCATTTATAGAGGCGATACAACGATTATAAACTTGAAGAAACTGCACTCTTAAAAAAAATTGGTCAGATTTGACTAGAAGCCAGTTAAATTTGACTAGCCGTTCAGGGTCAGCTGGTGCAACTGACAATCAGTCAATCCGACTAGATTTTTCCCAGACATTATTGAAAAATAGTTAGGCAAATAACTAAAATTGGAGTCAAATCCAACTACTAGTTCTCGTCATAGTATAAAACTTTGCATGTTTAACTAAATTCCTTGTCCTTTTTCAATAACTAGGAAAACCATGCAGTCAACATTTTGACGAAGTTGTTTTTAGACCGTGAACGCAGGAGCACACAACAAATATATAGGCCTACCGCAAATGAAGATCAGAGAAGAGCAAGCTCTTTGCCTACTTGGTGTGACGGTTGGTCCTTTTTACCCAAAAATGTTGACTTTTTGTTTTCAGTAAAATTGGGCAGGTGTACAATCAATGCCGCAATGAGCAGGTAGGTCAATATGAAAAAAAGAAGATTTTTCTGACAGTTTTATAACGATTACAAATGAGCAGCTAAATAAATTACCCTCAAATTTGGTGTGGGGTCTCCCACCCGTACCCCCGCCTCCGAAGTTCCTCCTGGCTGTAGGTCTTTTACATAACAGTTGCACCACTATTCCAAGTTAATACTTACAAGCCAATAATGGTCATCTTTGTTGAACCTCCGTGAAGTTATCAACGCCGTAGAGAAAGTTGTAATATTCCCAGTAAACAGTTACGTACAGGGCAAAACTGAACTAGAGATGACGAGCGCGATCGTATTTCCTTTCGCTTCAAAATGGATTTGGCATACCAGTCGACTTTATGGAACTATAATATATCCACGCCTTCCTCAATGATGAAATAACGTACATGGTGCGTCCCCTGTACATCTCCACACACCCCTTCTCCGGAAAACTACATCCAAAGTACATCCGTACCGTAGAACTGTCTTACTCCAGAAATTTTGTTCAAACATCGACGTGGGTGAATTGATACCAATGCCACACAGAGGCCCGTGAAAACATCTTTATTCCAACTGTGAGGATGCTGTCCACGTTCGGCCGAATTTACTCTTTGAACCAATGCTTTCTCGTGGGGTTGTCGTCGATGACTCCTGGAATCCCCGGCATGCGCGTATGGCCGCAGCGTGGGACAGACGAGACGCGTGTGCAGGGGCCTCCCGTTGCCCAGTTTGTGTGAGATGTCTCGGCCCAGCTAGCTAGGCCGCATGTATGCTGTGATAAAGCGATCCTGCAAGGAAGTCATGAATGTCAATGGCATGATATAAATACATCGTACGGATGCATGCATCCAATCACACGCACACATCAGTCGTGTAGTGTACGGTATTCGGTATATTAGGTTATTGACACTACATGTATGCACTATGTACACATGTACATGTATGAGTATTGCATCTGTAGGTTTGTCTCATATTATAAACACAGGTGGAAATAGGCCTAGCTGATGGAAGTTGGCTTGCCTTATTCTATATATCCGGCTTGCACTCGAAAAGCGTTACCTATATCTAGCCGCTCAATCATAAGCGGCAGGTCCGTTTCAATGACACTTCTCGTAAATGTTGGAAATGATCATTTAACGACTTTTGAAATCTGCGACCATCATTGGGCGGCGCCCCTGTGCATACGTATACGTACGCCGGTAGGATAGGCCGGGCCCCCTAGGCCTACAAAAGAGGGCGTGGTTCCTGATGTTCGGGGCAACTCTCAGAACTCTGTGATTCAAAAAACAGGAAATGGAATCGTCGTGAAACGATAATGAAGGAAACCATTACCGATTCTCATCGTGCGCACGTGTGCGGGTGGGTTTGTTTATGGTGTAAATCGAGGACACAATAATGTGAAACACGGGACAGGACTCAACTCGAGGACGTCCTCGATTAGAAAACGTGCACAAAGCAGTGGGAGCTGTTGCACAAAAGTTAAGTATAAATAAAAGATGGATGAAGAGGAACAATAGAAAATTCTGGATTTACACCATAAACAAACAGGGTTCCTTATGGGGTAGAAAACACAATAGAACAATATACCCCATAAGGAAGTCTTTAGAAATTAATATCTATACCCTATAAGGGAAATGCTATGGAGTTTGATATTTCATTAGGAACAACGGAGAACAAAAGAAGGGAAACAAAGGTCTTCCACACAATATGTGTAAGGCTGTGTGACTCGACTCAACGCCCCCCCCCCAAAAAAAAAAGAGATTAAAGTGGGCTGATGTAACGCCCCGTCCTTCAGCACCAAACCCAAAAGATAATCTTTGATACGCCACTTTGAAATAATTTTCCCCCGATAATGCAAGGTGAGCTTAAAAAAAACCATGTAATTGGTTGGAAAATATCTTGAAAATGTGAAGATATCAGGAATATCCTACTCAGTGGCGTCGCCAAGGGGGGGCCAGGGGGGCACGTGCCCCCCCCCCTGGAAAACCTAGTGCCCCCCCGAGTGCCCCCCCCCCATCTGAGATTTGGGTTGGTAAAAAATATATATATATTTTGTTATATTCAACTCCGATCATCTGAGTTGGTTTTTCATAAGGACAAAGAAGCACAGTAATTCGTATTTTCTTCAAATGAGCATCAAATGTGGCACCATTTTGCATCTAGCCTATCCTCCGTATGCGAAAATTTTCCAAAGGGGAGGGGGGCACCCCCTCCCCTTAGACCCCTCCCCCAGGACGGCGATCCGTATCCACCTAAGTGCCCCCCCCCCCCCCATCAAATGCTGGTGCCCCCCTCTGTGCCCCCCCAGACTGAAAAGTCTGGTGACGCCACTGATCCTACTACACATATTTGTAGGCGTATCGGTCATTTTTCAAATTGCGGTAGCAATTTGTTTAATATTGTCAATGCACTGTCCACTCACTTCGACGGCATCACTTTAATCAATGCCACCTACATTGATCGCAAGAGGGCGTCCTCTTTACTTCGTATAATGTATCGGGTACTATTTTAGGAGCTCTCCAAAGTTTACAATATTTTCACAGTAGTAGAATACTACTTTTACACCCTACCCCGAAAGTAGTACTTTTCAACTTTTTTTTAATGACTAAATATATGTTCATCTGACATTATTGGTTGATTGGTTGATTGATTGGTTGATTTGGTTTATATACAATAGAAAGTGTTGTGGTTCTCGTGCTCAAAAACATTAAAATACATTTGAACTTTATATTTCAAACATTAAATTACCACATAATTTAAATTAATTCCTCCTTAAAATATCTCCCCCCCCCTCAAGAAAAAAAAATCAAAATCATTAACAAGACAAAAGAAATTATTACACTGCAAGGTTACTTAATGCCATTCAGTCCCCTGATCCCCTGAAAAAAAAACATAAAAAAAATCCTCAAAAAGTTCAAAGTCATAAAAGATTATGTTCCTGTATTAAAGCTATGCACTGTATATGTATGCTGAAAAGGTAAGCCTACCCCATTAGAAACATAAATTACATTTGAAACCCTCCATTATAAATATATGTGACCAATAAAAAAAGATTGCCATATTAGAAACAAAGAACAGAAATTAGTGAAATTCCAGAAAAGCTGCAGGGAAAATATATATATACATGTAGTTCGAGTTTTTTTTCCATAAGACTGTATTTTAATCATTCAAGGGGAAAATGTGGAACGCATAGTGGGTGTGCTGCGCGCTGACTGGGGTGGGGTGGGGGAGGGGCAAGAGGGGGGCTCCCCCCCCCCCCGGCGGCATTTTGATGGCGTCATAAAACTAAAAACAACAGTTTTTTAAGACGGTTCAGATGTCGATAGGGCCTACAGTAAAATCCTAATTTTGCTCCCCCACCTCGGCATAAATAAAAAGCTTTATAATTTCGCAATATTAATAGTAATGAAAATTTATGGCACAAACACACGAACAAACCCAAAATGGCAGCTACCATGTAGATTTTTTTCCCGAAAGATCAGTGTTCAAAATCCAAAGGAAATTTGTCTTTATCCACCACCTGGAGGATCCGAAGTGTCAAACACGTGCTGAGGGACACTTTGTCGTACAAACGTTGTCTTTCGGAGACAGAAGAATACAGAGAGGTCGAAGGAATGGGTGGTAAGAGTTCGACCGTCGTGAATTCGATTACTTCACCGATCACGAACTATTTTTACGGGAGCGTTAGGAAGGGAGGTGATGGGACAGACGGCATGGACGGGGAGTGTGTGGCTGTCGGCAAGCTGAGGGTTAACCCCTTTGTACACACAAGGAAAAGGTAAATAGTTCGGCGATCGTGTAGTGTAGAGGGCACCTGGGAAAAAATTCCATACTCGGACGTCACTTTTTTCAATTAATTTTCTAGCGCCAAAAGTTACATCTTTTATGGTTATTCCTCCACTTTCCCTCCTCTACTCTCACCCTCTCCTTTCCTTAATTTCTATTTATTAATCAGTCAGTTACTTCATCGGGATTCGAACCTCTGACGCTTGCTTGATACACGAGACTCTTAACCGCTAGGCCGCGCACGATCGCTGTTGCAATCTTCAATCTTTGGACGTATTTGAAGTATCCATTGAAATAAACTAAATATTCATGAGAAAATAAATATTCATAATGACGTATTGCACTATCATTGGCAGGCGTGTATAACGTACCGCTGTATAACGTACCGCTGTCTTTTCAGCCACTACAATCAGTTTTGACCGGCTGCTTCAAGTTAGTTCTGCACGACGTATGCATCCAAAATGTGCTCTAAAAACACATTTTGAGTAAATTTTTTTCACCTTTACACAGCTTCCTGGATTTCTTTTGGTTCAAATGACAAGGTGAGGTGACAATAAATATGTTTGGCAGCAGATAAATTGACATCCGAGTATGGAACTTTTCCCGGCACCTGTTTTGTTTCGATCAAATTAGAATCAAGATTGTTTTTATTACTAAAAAAAAAATGACATTGTCAACCTACATGTAAAGCAGACTTCTCTCAATGTAATGACACCTTTTTGGTAATTTTTGAACAGTTTCTTGGGGTAGAAATTACGATTTTCCCACATGGTTTACAGGCCGGTTGGTGCCGTGCAGCGCGACTTGCGTGCTCACGGTACATCGTGCAGTGATCGCCATCTTTATTTTTGTATTGCGTTCTGTCGTTGTCATCGTCATTTTACCCCGAAATTTCATTGAAAATTCAAAACCCTGCCCTTTATCTACGACATACCTGTATGTTCTTAATGTCGCCAACTAGTTTGGTAGGTGAAATAATTTAAAAGTGGATTTTGTCTCTGTATTATGTTATATTTGTATCTGTATTTATAGTTGGTATTGCAGGCAGGGGAAACATCACACGGCACACCAACTTAGAGAGAAGACAATGAGAAGAAATTACAGTTTAATACTTTTAATAGAGGTACGTTGGGAGGAATAGCCCAGAAGAATATTCTGGGGAAAACCCACGAAATCAGGTAGGGACTGGAAACCCAATCCACATATTGGCCCAGGCGGGATTCAAACCTGGGTCACAGCAGTGGAAGGCGAGGAAAGTACCGCTAGCGCTACGCCAACCTGACTCCCCTTTTGTGTTATAAATGCCAATGATGTCACAAAATAAAAGTCAACAAACATGGTGGTAAAACGTTTAAAGAAGTAGACCCATAAGCATGGTAAAACATGGGTAGTAATATACCGGTACATAGCCATGGCCATGCTCCGTTCATAATCTCTGTACTTTCGACGTATTCGGAATCCCTGTTGGAGACCTTAACCTTCCACATACAGTCCCGAAATTTAGCAAGCACTATATGTTCAGTTCTTGCATTCATAACAGTTTATCCAAGAACTTCCAGTGGCCATGGTGGCATAGGATTTGTCATTCAAAGAAATTCGAGGGGAAAAAAGAGAGCCCACATCATCACGTACGTTAGAAATTTCGAAAGTTCAGAAAACTGAATAGAGCATGGCTATGTATAGCCACGTTTATGGGTTTAGCAAAGAAATAAAGTGAGTGATTATACATACTGTACACACTGACAGTGACACTATTTACACTTGCAGAACTGCCCTGAATTTCAATCGTAAAATAATATTTCTTTAACAATTTAATACTAGCACAGGTTTTTTATATCATATTTGAAGATTTGTTTCACACATTTATTGTTATGTTTCAATTTGTTTTCATGTTTATATGACTATGCCCTAGGGCCTACCGTTTATTTGGGTTTTTTGCTTATCATTATAGCCAAATACAAAAATACATGTTTAGAATCTCCGCCCGCTTTATTTTTGGCTGCCACTTGGTGTTTTTTTGTTTTTGGAAAAAAATCCAAATGTCAACCGATCCATCGAAAAATAGAATACGTGCGAGTCGGAACTTAAGACTCTGTTGGTCACTTTCCACATCATGCAGTCGACCCTGCGTTCTCCAATCCAAACCAACCTAGACGGTGGATCTTGGACTGAGCAACCACGCGGCCACGTGCACTGCCAGGACTACTTAAGCACCGTCGATATATATCAATCTTACTTGATTATTCCATATTATTTTAATATCGATATCGCCGATTGCAATTTTTTTTAACCCTAACCATCCCAAATCCTCAATTTTCAATATTGGGGAATGATATCAAAAATATTGAAAATGCGTCATATTATCGTCGAAATAAATCTCCCGTTTGTACTTTTACTTTGTGTTTTAATGTTTGCTGTATAATGAAATAAAACTCTGCGGCAACTTGTGCTTATGACTCGACATAAAAACATCACGAAATGCAAAGTGGCGTCGCTCCATGTTTGCTGGATTAAGCGGTGCCCCCCCCCCCCCAATGTAAAACCTCAAAAGAAACCGCCCGTTCTGGAGTTGTGAGATTTAATTTAAAAAGTTTGAAAGCGGTAGAAAATTTGAACTTAAGAATGTGTTTTTTTTTTTTTTTTTTTTTTTTGGTCATATTTATGGTCTTAATGATAATTGATAGATCAAATTGAATTTCCGATATATTGATTATTTAAAATTCTGATATCGATGGTGCTAAGCACTTATCAAACATTACAAATCCAAGTTTTAGGCCAAAAAAGAGTCTCCTGGTATGCGCGCGCGTCACCGTAGCCGTGCGCGTCGGCAAAATGAAACAGTTTTTTTTTCAATGAAAGATGATGTCTCAAAACCGCCAAACTCACTGGTTTGACTGGAATCCTGCGGCTGCACAATTTTAACGTGTTTTTAGATTGGGTTATGGTCGAGAATAAGCTTTATGTGGCCTCTCTGGACTCCTATATATTTGCACTAAGTTTAGTCGGGCACCATTTGCAGTCATCAGCCGACATTATTTTGAAGCAAAAAAATCAGGTAAAAAAAAAAAAAGCAGCATCGCCACACCACTTTTTGGGCAAGCTCCATACCAGAAACCGGAGACTTTTTTTTTTTTGGCCTTAGTGCTTGAATAAATACACGGAAACAGAAAAAGTACCGGTACATACACAGAAAATATATCTTCCAGTTTTGTAAAATTACTGCCTAAAATCGTCAGTGTTAGGCCAAAAAAAAAAGTCTCCGGTTTCTGGTATGTGCGCGCGTCGTCGTAGCCATGTGCGTCGGCAAAATGAAAACGTTTTTTTTTTCAATAAAAGATGATGTCTCAAAACCGCCAAACTCACTGGTTTGACTGGAATCCTGCTGCTGCACAATTTTAACGTGTTTTTAGATGGGGTTATGATCGAGAATAAGTTTTATGCGGCCTCACCGGACTCCCATATATTTGCACTAAGTTTAGTCGGGCACCATTTGCAGTCATCAGCCGACATTTGAAGCAAAAAGACAGGTAAAAAAAAAAAAAAAACGTGTCACCGCACCACTTTTTGGGCAAGCTCCATACCAGAAACCGGAGACTTTTTTTTTTTTGGCTTTAGATCGTTTCACAAAGTACTTGCTGGACTTATTTCACGATGTCGACGTCATTCCCAATTTATACCGTTCCAGTTTATCATTATTTGCTATGCAAATAGCGAGTAAGATTTTTCAAGGCGGCTAAACACTGGCGGGTGATGTGGCATCGTTGCCGGAGGAAAAAAATGGTTTGATATTTGCTATGTGCGCTCTTGATCACGCTCGATGTGAAAGAAGTATGAAAGGGGTAATACACAATAGTTTTGATGTACATGTAGAACATGCTGTTGAGATATGCGTTTTTGATAAGACAAACTACATGCACAAGTTTCGAGCACTTGAACAATACGATTTCTCATTCGCCCTGTTCTAAGTAGTGGCAATGTGACGTGGCTGGGTTTATTCTGGCATGGGACGCCCCCTGGAAGTTCCTGTCTCCCCAATGATGTAAAACCTCAAAAGAAACAGCCCATTCTGGACAAACTGTCAGTGCTGACATTTGTTTTAAAAAGTTTGAGCAATATGCTAAAGAGTAAGCCGGGAAAAATTGGGACTAAAGATTGTTCCTTTTTTTATGCCCCGCGGCGAAGCCGAAGGGGCATACTGTTTCCGCCTCGTCCTTCCGTGGGTGGGTGGGTGTGTGGGTGGGTGGGTGTGTGGGTGGGTGGGTGTGTGTGTCCGGACAAATCTTGTCAGCGCGATAACTTGAGAAATACTTAACATATGAACTTCAAATTTGGTTTGTGGATTGTTCTTGGTAATCCTAAGAAGCCTTTTGCATTTGGGGCCAAAAGGCCAAAGGTCAAGTTCACAGTGGCTAAAACAATAGAAATCTTGTCAGCGCGATAACTTGAGAAATACTTAACATATGAACTTCAAATTTGGTTTGTGGATTGTTCTTGGTAATCCTAAGAAGCCTATTGCATTTGGGGCCAAAAGGCCAAAGGTCAAGTTCACAGTGGCTAAAACAATAGAAATCATGTCAGCGCGATAACTTGAGAAATACTTTACATGTGAACTTCAAATTTGGTTTGTGGATTGTTTTTGGCAATCCTAAGAAGCCTTTTGCATTTGGGGCCAAAAGGCCAAAGGTCAAGTTCACAGTGGCTAAAACAATAGAAATCTTGTCAGCGGGATAACTTGAGAAATAATTAACATATGAACTTCAAATTTGGTTTGTGGATTGTTCTTGGCAATCCTAAGAAGCCTATTGCATTTGGGGCCAAAAGGTCAAGGGTCAAGTTCACAGTGGCTAAAACAATAGAAATCTTGTCAGCGCGATAACTTGAGAAATACTTTACATGTGAACTTCAAATTTGGTTTGTGGATTGTTCTTGGTAATCCTAAGAAGCCTATTGAATTTGGGGCCAAAAGGTCAAGGGTCGAGTTCACAGTGGCTAAAACAATAGAAATCATGTATTTATTCTGAGATTATAGGGATTAGGGATTTATTCATATAAACCCTACAGAAGACACTAATGCTGTCAATGAATGTTCCATGTGACCAAGGTACATGTAAGTTGATGTTAAAAGAGTGGTGTTATGTCATGGGAACTGTCACCGTTGCGGGGCATTTGTGTTTGTAAACACACCTGACTTGTTTAATCAAAGTGTCAGGAATATTTCAGGACCCCTCTCCTACATGTACTTGTATGAGAGAATAAAAAGCCGCTTACCTAAATAGCTGGGAATATTAAAAACAAACGATGTAAAAAGAGCAAGTTTTTTTGTTATGAAAGAAAGAGAAGATGTCAATAAAGCCACTTCAGTTCACATGGCACCACTGGAAAACAGGGTAAAAAACTCAATATCTACCAACGACTTAAAAAATTCAAAACACTAGGGTCATTAGCATTGAAGGAAGATTGCTGAAGGTTGTAGAAGTTATTTTAGAAATAAACAAGAACCTTTTCATTACAAAATTTGTGTACTGTTTTATATTTATCCTGTGCACTGTTCTACGTTTTGAGCTCATAAAACTATAGGCCTGTTTGAAATAATTAGTTCCTTATTTGTTAAGTGTGAAGTTTTAAAGAGATGTGTACATGTACATGTAGTCATTTACCATGACCTTTAAATTAACAAGTGTAATTACAAAAAAAAACACACATGTTGCATGGTCAAAGAAATTTTCTTTTGATGGCACAATAAACTTTTATTGTGTTGTTTTAATTACATCTGTTATGTGATGCACTTGTAGTTGACCCATACACTTATACCACTGTGCCAGTGCCAGTACATTTTGTATATATTGGATATATTCATGATGGTTGTGTACAACAACCACCAACAACATATGAATTGTAATACAGTCATGCAGTCATGTAATATTAGTCATTTCTGGTGGTCATGAGCCTATGACACGAGATGTATCAGTACATTGTACGTTATACTATACGTTCATGTGTAATTGTTTTGTTCATTTTTTTCGAGGGGGGGGGGGGTGTGAAATGAGGCATTCCATTGTACCAAGCACAATAAATAAGAGTTCTGATCAGGACTGATTTTAAACTTGTACACTCATTAGGCATTTAACATTAACCCTTACCCTACTAGACCCTCCAACGCATGCCAATATGTGCCTCAAGAAAATCTCCTATGTTTTTTGCATGGCCCTCCAATATCTGCCATGTCATTTCAAGGGTAACTGGACAGGCACTCCAATACATGCCACAGAGAACAATGAGAGTCCTCTGATAACAAAGTGAGTGCCCCAGCTGGTCAGTATCAGGCACCCTCCAGGGCCTCCAACTCCTGCCAATTGGAGCCTTCACTGTTAAGACAAACTATCTGCCAATAAACTGCAGCTGGAGGGCATTGGCATAACCAACTGACATGCAGTAAACTACCCTCAGAGAGTAAGGGTTAGCTAATTAGTGAGCATTTTCAGGTCAGATGAAACATTTACATCAGTGCAAAAGGTTCATTGGCTGTTTAGTCATGTTCGTTTTGGTAAGGATTACCCACAATCCTACATTTTCATCACAAGTGTCTGTGATCTTGCTTACATACATGTACATGTATACGCCAGCAGTTTCCCTAGTTACGTGATGTACCATAAAAGCAAAACTTTCTCTATTTTTTAAAGGTACAATGTATAGGCCTACATGTAGTACCAGTTTTATCATTTGTCATTTTTCCTTTTTTGTTGTTGAAGCAACGAAAGTGCTCAATATCTAAAGAAGCGTGCTAAACAACTAGCCTGATGAAGTTTTAGCTCAGTGAATGCTGAATATTCCGAGAAAAATAACATTTCAATTTCAAGTCAAATTTGGCGAGTCATGTTTTGAATTGCACCCGAAATCAGCGACCGGGACATGTTCTCATTCAGTCGATTGCAGCTACGCGATGTCACGCACCAAACGGACTCTGCGCGTGCGTGCGTCGTGTCAACGCGTGCCACACCCATTCGTGGCTTCACTGAATTAAAAAGAAACCACTAAGGCCCAAAAAAAAGTCTCCGGTTTCTGGTATGCGCAAAATGAAAAAGTGTATTTTTCAATGAAAGATGATGTCTCAAAACCGCCAAACTCACTGGTTTGACTGGAATCCTGCTGCTGCACAATTTTAACGTGTTTTTTGATGGGTTATGATCGAGAATAAGCTTTATGTGGCCGCTCTGTTCTCCCATAATATTTACACTAAGTTTAGTCGGGCACTATTTGCAGTCATCAGCCGACATTTGAAGCAAAAAAAATAGGTAAAAAAAAAAGAAGCCGCGTCGCCGCACCACTTTTTGGGCAAGCTCCATACCAGAAACCGGAGACTTTTTTTTTTTGGCCTTATAGAACGGAAATTTCCAGCAATGCATTTTTAGACGCTTCTTTGGAAATGACCTTCTTTTATTGTTTTCTTCAAAATGACAGCATGGCAGAAAGAGTAATTTCACAGGGAATTTAGTGCCGTTACTGTCTTTAAAACAAGTACATGTATGCTTTTCAACAATAATTTCTTCAGTTACTTTTTGGAAAGCTGCAAGTACTCTACCTTTAAGATAATCATCAGAGACAAAGACCTTAAATATAGACCTGTGTCATAATCAACTCTGAGGCCACTTTGCCCTAATCATCAGTATCATGAGTCAACCTGTTTCCGTCACCCCAGATCAGATTGATAATCCGACGTGCGCCATCGTGGATATTCCAACATGTGCCTGTGTGCTACGCACGGTGTCATGTCTGAAAAACAGAAACAGGTGGCGGCAAGCACCCCCTAATCACAACCATCATTCAAAACTCTCATTCAAAGAAATAAAGAAAATGATAGATGGTTTGACCCCTTTTGACAGTCAATCCAGAGTGCAACATGAAATTAGTACTCGGCCAACCGTGCTATTACTCATACATTTATGATAGCAGCCACCGCACTCAGCTTCACCGAGAGCTGACTGGTCATTGCACTATTCAAAATCATTCCCGTGTTGAAACAGACACATGGTTTTAAGTAAACATGATTTGTATTCTAGCTCAAAAAAATCTCAACTTCACTTACAAGCAAAGGGTGCTGCTTAGTAACGAGACGAAGCAAGTCTATTAAAGCTGGTCCCAGAGACCACAAAATTCTATTCAATTAATTAAGAATTCCAGGGGCGGATCTGGGGGGGGGGTCAGACCCTTCAGATTTTTGTAATGTCTGATTGTTGCCGGCAGGCGGATAATATAGGTACATTGTAATACAGCACATTGTTACTGATGCACTTATTGTTTTAACTTGTTTTTTTTTTTTGGGGGGGGGGGTTGTCAGAGTTGGGGGGGGGGGGGGTTCGATCCCCCCTTCTGGATTCAAGCCTGTATTTACTTAAAATCTTTAAGTCCAGATTTAGCCCATTCATTGATGTTACGGAGTAATCCTATACGATAGTACTGCCTGGCTGGCAAGTGACACTCAGTCCGCAAAATCAGGCAACCAGCTAAAGTTTCATGTACATGAAATTTGGATAATTTCTTGTTATTTCTGGATAATTTCTTGTTACTTTAGTGGAGTTCCATGGCCTCATGGTCTAGAGCATTGAACTGGTGGTCTGCGGGTAATTCTGCAGGTTGTGGGTTCGAGTCCAGCCTGGGGTTATGGTGTGTGCGCCCTTGGGCAAGGCACTTTGACACTCATTGCTTCTCTCCACCCAGGAGTAAATGGGAACAGGAGGGCAGAGATGGTTATTGTGAATGAATTTAGCTGCGTTGCGCTAAAACAGCATAGTGTTGTGGCCTCGTGGAGTCGTGGTCTGCAGGTAAAGCTGCAGGTTGTGGGTTCAAGTCCAGCCTGGGGTCATGGTGCGTGTGCCCTTGGGCAAGGCACTTTGTCACGCATTGCTTCTCTCCACCCAGGAGTAAATGGGTACCTGTGAGGGCAGAGATGGTTATTGTGATTGAATTAGCTTCCCTGCACCTAACAGGCAGCATCGAGCTGTATAGTGTGTACCAGTGCGCGCAAGCAATGTGTTCCTTTCACTGGAGTTTTTTAAAGTGGTAAAAAAACGCAATCTACTGTTCGTGTTCTGTGTCCATATAACTAGACCAAATTCAATTTTTGAATTTTTGATGGCCTATGGGTTTTGTAGAATTGATCTGTAACTTGTAAATGTTTGCTTCTTTAAGAATCTATTTTTTTTTATCTGAAAGCCTCCGTTCATCAGCTGAGTTTCTCTGATTGTTTCTGTTTTTCCTGTCACAGTTCGAAGTTTTACGACGAGGATGGACATATAGCTCACGAGTTTTACATTGAAATCCCCGGGTCCAAGAGAAGACGTATGAAGGCAGGAATGATGAGAATATACACCAATCTTAGACCACAGGTACAGTACCCCCCATTCCCCCCTCCCATCCCCAACTTTCTTCTGGTACATGTGTTGTGTTCGTAGAATTTGCATCTGGGTATTTCACAGATCATAGGTTAAATGATAATCTCAAATATAAAAATACATCTACTTAGAATGATGAAGGAGCACATTTCAAAATCCAAGGTGTAGACAAAAGTGAGCCTATTTAAGAAACATCCATGTTCAGGTTTTTTTTCACTCATTTCCCATTGATATTTAAAAAAATAAAATAATAAATGTGAAATTGGTGCGCCCTTCAGCATTTTTTTTTCTAGAAAATTGAACACTCTGATGGTGTTATTAGATTTTCTTTCTTTCTGGTAATGAAACCAAGGATTCCTCAAAAGTGCCCTAAGCACTGTACATGTAGCCCGAAAGCCTGAAGAAACCTGTAGAGAGGAGACAGTGAGAAGCAATTACAGTTTTAGAGGTGGGTGGAAAAGCCCAGAAGAATATTCTGGGGAAACCCACGGAATCAGGCAGGGACTGACAACCCAATCCACACATTTGCCCAGGCGGGATTTGAACCGGGTCACTGCGGTGGAAGGCAGGGAAAGTACCGCTACGCCAACCTGACTCCCCTGAGCTTTAAGATGATACCAGAAGGTATGTTTATGTCATTCATTGCTGTCTCCAATTCTTAAGACTGCCATTTCTGCACCACGTTGTAGAGTATGAATCGAAGAGGCAAAACTTTAACTTTGTTTCAAATTTTGTTGGCATGTTGTGATTTTCATTTATCTGTTTGTTCTTCAGGAAGAAATTACCCTGGATCCACCCAGACTTCGTCCAGACCTACCAGTGGTCCTGCGCCAAGTATGACATCAGGTCATGACCTTAGTCTGACCTTAGTTTAACCTAGGTTAGTTTTAGTGACATCTAGAACCTCTGCCTGAGAAAAAATACTTCCTACATTTTTTTTTGTCCTGAGTACATGTATATGGTGCTTATTTTGTCAGCATGATCAATGTGTTATGTTGAGAGAGTTTGTGAAATTATTCACTTGACTTTGTGTGGGTTCGAACCATCCACATTTGGCGTAATACTTATTGAGTCTCAACTATTTGATAAGTTTGTGACGTTCAGTAATTACTGTAATATCTCCTAAGAATTAAACAGTGTATAGAAACCTTTTCAGACTACTGTCTCGCATACCCATGTTGAAATCAACACCAGTCTATCACAAGCTGAACTGGGTCCGATCGAACACTGTTCAACAAGGCATTGACTTACACTAGTTTGTACATTTGTGTACACTTGTTGCAGTGTTGTAGTCGAGTACTTTTTTTCCGAGTACCGATTACTGCAGAGTACTTAGGTTGCCGAGTACGAGTATGAGTACTTGTACCTCCGAGTACAAGAACAGGTCTCCGAGTACGAGTACTTGTACTTACAAGTACGAGTACTGTACTTCCAAGTACGAGTACAAGTACTTGTATTTCCGAATACGGCCATACGGCAAATGGTTCGTTGTGCGTAATTGGCCCAGGCCAGTCAGACCGATTTACAGACCCACTCACAGCTAGCTGTTAAATGTGTTTGTCTGGACGTGCACAGAGAAAAATCAGGAAACTTTGATTTCTCCACAAGCCAATCAACCATTCAAACTGAAAGTATCGTTAAAATAAGACCGTGGTTTATAGTCAGCTACAATGTACATCATTTTCCCCCCGAGTACTGCTATTCGAGTACGAGTATTTTGATGATCGGGTACAATTTCATCATGTCGAGTACGAGTACTTTGCTGCCCGAGTACGAGTACCATCATTTCGAGTACGAGTACTTTGACATTCGAGTACGAGTACGAGTACTCCAAAAAAAAGTACTCGAGTAGTACTCGAGTACGAGTACCGAGTACGAGTACTACAACACTGACTTATTGGCCGTAAATTTGGGATTTCTTACGCGGGTAGAGCCTCTTTACCCCGGTCTAAACCAGCACTGGCACCATGTAGAAGCCCTGTTGGATTCTTGCTTTTGTGAGAAGGGATCCCCAAATCTCAGGGGTTTGACCCGCATCTAAGACACAGGAGACTTTGGATGGAGTTTGAAACTAATGAAAGGGCCTTCATTCAGCTGTAGATCATGAAAACTTTACACAAGTAAAATTTCATTGCATTGAAATTACTTGTTCCTGAACAGGAACTTTTTCATGAAAATAATGTATACTGTAATTGACTTCCAAATTGATTTTCCTTTTCTCAGGCAGAGTTTCTTTGATAGATACTTTATTGCATGTACATAAGAGAATATTTATGAAGTGAAGCAGAACAATATAACATGACTCTATCCATACGGTGACGAAGGGCTGTCATTGGTCATTTGTCACTGCATGGCAGGTCAAAGGTTAAATAGAGTCAAATAATTGAATATTCCGTATCAGAGTTGATGAGCGTGCTCAAGGTGTTGATGATGTCACTGGGCTGGCTCCGTGGCAAGAGAGAGATTATGTAGGAATTTAAAGGGGGAAATGCATTAGCTTTTTTGTGTTGTGATGGACACAATGTGAGCACTATTTTAAGTAAGGAATTTCTTTTGTATTAAACTTTTTCCCAGCCCCCCCCCCTAAAAATATCCATGGGGACGGGTAGCTAGCTCCCATTTAAAGCCATTGATTGGATCACCTCTGCGCGTGCAGCATGGTCGTTTATTTTTGAATGGCTATTCAGCTTTGAGCATGGACGATATTTGAACACATGGTTATCAAAAAACTGACTCTTGTCTTACCACAAAAATTATGCAAAATCGCCAGTGTCTCCATGAAGGCAAATTTCAAGCATTTTAACTGCATAGGTTTTAAATACTGAACAGTAATGCCCCTCTCTGTATTGATATTTGCCAGAGACACTTTTGCATTCAGCAAAAATCGAAGCTCAACACCTCCGAAATTGCACATTCGTGGCCTATTGCCATTTTGCAATAGCCTGGTTACGCGCAAACATTACCGTTGAGATTTTGAATGCATATCAGGAGGCGGGATTCAGACCTAGTACATCATGCATATTATTTGCATAAATTAGGAGGAAAGCCTCCTTATATATGCAGGATTCACTGCTAGCTGCCTGTCCCCATCCTTGAAGTCTGAAGGACAACGGGGAGAGGGAACCAGACTACTTTTGTTTACCCAAATTTACCCACTCTAAAATAGCGCTTTCTCATCCTGTCCACCGTATCTCTAAAAGGCTGACAAAAATTAACTTTAGATCAGAATTTGTTTTGTGAGAGCACCCTTTAAATGTAAAATAATATAAGGTTGACAAAGAAATTGCAATAGAACAAGTTTTCAAGCTGCGATCTGTGGAGGTCGCGGTAATTCAGATCCAACATGGTGAATTTCTATGTTGAAGTGCACTTAGTGATTTTCCTTATGTTGTCAGTTTTGATCTGCAAAAGTAATATCTTTACCAGCCCAATGGGGACTATGGTTGGTGGAGGGATGATATACATGTATTTTTTCCTGAAAATGAATTAAACTCTTGCAAACTGCTTACTGACTGGAATTGACCTGAAATATACAAATCAACAAAATTAACTGGCCTGATGTTTTGATCTTTATGAGATCTGCTTTAGAGGCAAATGTATAATTTCCCTAAGAATTTTCAGTTGAAACTTCACATTGGCCGTGGGGGCAGAAAAAGTTTGCATTTCAAATTACCAGCCTTGCCCTGAAATTCCCTCAAATGTTTGGGTCATTTTGGAACATGAGCTTACTGAGATGGAAGGTCAAATGCAGTTTTGTGTGAATTCCATGAATATGCACACTATAAGATAATTAAGATTCTAAAGGGAAGTATTGGAGTCAGTGTGCTTGCTGCTGATATCAAGTTCCAAGTTTACTGAGTCTACTTTCTCTATGACTTGACAGAGTGACTTGAGTCTTATTTCCGATACTGAGAAGAAACCATAGAAAAACTTTGAACAGAGTATTTGAACACGATATTCTGGATCTCGATTACAATTAAAAAGTTGCCATGCCATATTTTGAATTGGACCCTCTCTCGGCACAATCCCCAAATCAGCATTTTGGACATGATTCTCATTCAGCCGATTGTAGTTACGTGATGTCTCACAATGAACCGGCAAATAATAGTAACCCCGCGTGCGTGTGCTTCATGTCAACGCTTGTACCCATGCATGGATTCGCCCAACTACAAACGAAAATTTCCAAAAATGTGTCACTTGACACATCTTTGGAAATGACCGTCTTTTATTGTTTTCTTCAAAATGCCAGCATGCCAGAAGGAGTAATTTCACAGAAAGTTTAGTGCCATTACTATCTTTAAACCAAGTAAGCTTTATAACAATAATCTGTCGGTTACTTTTTGGATAGCTGCAAATGGTCCTCTCTACCTTTAAGACTGGTGGACTTGATTGTGAGGACTTGTAAGGACTCCACTACTTTCAGTCAAAAGTTCTCTTGGTTAAATTTTGCTAGCATGAGCATAAAGTGAATACACACAAGCTAGCAATGCTGTACAACTTTGAAGATACTTGCAAATGTGTCATCAAAGTAAACAAAGGTGTATAATTCTCAATTACGAACAAAAAACACTGTCAGTGTCTCACACAAGAGATGTCGCGATAGTTATTAGTCTGCTGGCATAACTGAAAGACGAATGGTTTGCTCGGGTCATTGCGAGGTCACCGAAAGGTCATGAATGCGTGAAGCAGGCTTTTGGGATTTTTGAAATGTCTGCTGAAGCTTGGTCCCATTAACTGAGATCATCATGGGACGGTGCAAGGAGACACGTCAAGAAAAACAGGAATGTTTGCGGTTGAAGTCTAGGGCCGTACTATTTCTTTTTCAACTGGAACGCCACCCAGGGCAAAAATAGTAACACATGTCACTGTAATATGATTTTACAGACTAGTCAGCTACTTGTGTCATCCTATATTGGTTGATTGAACTATTTGAAAGACTTTAAATTAGGCCTGGGCGATTTGGTGCAACAATCAATTACAGTGGCGTAGCCAGGAATTTTTCAGTGGGGGGGGGGGGGGGGGGCTGGAACATTTCATGGGGGGGGCGTCATGTAGATCAATGAATTTTATTTTAGAAACTCAAAATCTCAGTTGGGGGGGGGGGCGACTGGGCGGGCGACAAGGTTTCATGGGGGCTGGGTCCCCCCCCCCCATCCCCCGTGACTACGCCACTGATCAATAATAGATGTACAATTGATTCCAAGCTAAAATTCCAATCGTGACTCACTTTCTGTTGAAGCCAGTTTCAACAACTCAGTGATGAAGAACGGTCAAGTTTGGGCTTTTCTTGGAAGAAACATATTGGAATGTTGTGGTCTAGTCGTCTGACTCGTATGAACTAGAGATTGCAGGATGTTGATTCCAGCCCACCAGAAGATTGCTGTCCTTTTGAGCAAATTGTGTTCTTGAGGAATCCACTTTACCACAATTGTTCCTTGACATAAATCAAATGGGTTCCCATGAAAAAATATTTGGTTAATTTTGAATGACAGCAATTGTGAATAAGCATCCAACTCCAGCAAGCAGAAAATACTTTCCAGCAGGCAGGAAATGAACAGTGGCTCAGTGGTCAGGGTTAATAATAATAGCTAGATATAAATGTGAGGCGTTCTGGTGAAATGAGACGGAACTGGGCACAGGCCGTAGTGGAGAAAAATGCAAACAAACGAATGGGGTGATTTTTTTTTTCGTTTTTCAGATTTATATATATTTTTAATCTTTGATATGTATACTACACATATGTGACCTGTTCTGTCAAAAGCAGACGCTTCTGGGCAGAGGTTGAAATTGAGATAGGGCCAAAAAACGCTGTGGGGTGATTTTTATCGATTTTCAATTTTTGCATATTTGTAATCCTGAACATGTCTAAAATATAATATAAAAGTTTGAAACCCTAATTTGAACTCTACATATACTATTTTTGATG